GCAGAAGCTTTTTAGTTTGATGTAGTCCCATTTGTTTATTTTTTCTATTGTTTCTCTTGCCCGGTCAGATGTGGTGTTTGAAAAGATGTTGCTAAGACTGATGTCGAAGAGCGTACTGCCTATGTTTTCTTCTAGAACTTTCACAGTTTCAGGTCCCGAATAATATTTTTAAATGCATGAAATAAAATAGACTTACAAAGGAAACTCATCATATTAAAACACAGTTATGAAAACATTACAAAAAATGTGATATAGTAACATGGGCTTCTTGATTTATGCCTTAAATAACCAGATCTAACAGCAGTTCCAATAACTATTGGAATTTTGAGTTGAAATTGAACTAGTCATGAGCATAAATGAAATTTTGAGATGCCTGCAACAACTGGCATATGAAAGGCAAATCTCTGTGATGTCTATTACTGACAAAGTCACAGGTACTGCTGACACTTCTGTGGTTTGTTGCCCACATTCATCATTTCAATTTGAGGTTAGTGAAAATAAGGAGGTAATTTTTTCCATGCAAATTCAAAGTTGTCCCTCCCTTTCTTGAATTCTACGTCCATAGGCCCCTGGTTAAGAATCTCTGCTCTAAGGCGTCATGTAGTCTCCCATGGATTAGAATCAGCTGCCTCCTACCTGTCCCATCCTTCAGGATGACATCTCGCCCCATCCACTTTCCAAGCTTGCCCCTGTAATTGCTGCCCACAAAGCCCTGGTTTCTGGCTGGGAAAAGCTTGGAGCTCTCAGCCCATTTGCTCAGCACTGATGACTACATGCCCTGAGTCCACTGAGCAACTGGCCTTTTCTCAAAATTCTGTCTAATGAGTCACTCAGGCAGCCCTCGTATTTTCCAGAATTCTCTCAATATAGTCTTATACTGGAAAATCACCCTATGCCTACCTAGTAACACCAACTCTGCAAGCCACCACCACCTCTGCCCCTGTCCCTGAATATGACTCTTTTCAGCTAGTTCAGAGTGGGCAGTCCTGAGAAGGCTGGGGTGATCTTTAAACCAGAACAACCACAGCCTCACTCCTGGCCTTGATGCCCCTCAGTTGGGAGAGGAGAAATCCAGTGAACTCAACAGCAGCCATCTCTCTGGGTGGGGAGGCACGGTCCTTCCCAGTGGGAGGGGAATAGGAATAAGCAAATGATCTCCTTGGAGCCCTCCACATCTGGAGATTCCTGGCCTCTTTTTTGGCCTGTTCTCATGTGCTCTTCAGACCCTGGGGTTCACTCACCTAAAAATATGTAGAGTGGGATCCACTGTAAAACAGAGAGGGTTTGGAGGGTCTCCTGAAGATCCAGTCAGAAGAGGAAGGCCATGGCTATGGCGCTGTTCTGTTGTGGCAAGAGGCCAAAACAGAAGGTCAGTACCTCCAAAGCTGACCTGATTACAGGTGCTTTGTTCTAACCGCTTATCATTGAGTCCCTTTAGCAGATGGAGGTTTTAGGCTTGACCTAACCTTTCCCCCAGTCTTCTCTGTTCTCTGCCCCGCCCCAACTTCCTACACACACATCAGGTTTCAGATCACACTATCTAATCTCCTTAATATGTATTCTTTTTCCACATGATCAATTGCAATGAGGCAGAAATGGCCTTGGGGTGGTTTTAGCTGCATGTGTATGTGGGAGGCGGGGGGGGGGGCTGATGATAAATTAGTGCGGGAAAAGAGAATGGCTTGGGTCTCAAATAGGACTTCTGAAAAGCAACCTGCTACCTTTCCCTGCTTAAGAAATGGGACCTGGCAACCACACTTGTTTCTGCCCTAGTGGCTGCTCTTTGGCTCCTCCTGTCTTCTGCTGAGACCCACCTAGTTAACTAGGGCCTTTTTTTGCATGGATATCCAGACTTCTCAGATCCCTCCTCATACCTCTGTTCCCAGGGGCTCTGTATCAGTGGCCAGATACCATATGGTAGAGTAGGAGAAGCATTGCACAGAGCAGACCTGGGTTCCAGTCCTACCTCCACCATGTTCTTCCCGTGAGACCTTTGGAAATTGCCCCATCTCTTTAGATCTCCGTTTGAACATTCGTTGTTGGAAGGCTGGGTAGTGGTTAGGGGCATGTACAGTAGAGCCAGATAGCTGGAGTTCAGCTCTCATCTCTGCCACTTACAAGTTGGTGAACCTCTGTGCCTTGGTTTCCCCATCTGCAAAATGGGGATAATAGTAGTTCCTACTTCATAGGGTTGTTCTGAGGATTAAGTGAGTGAATGAATGTAAAGTGCTTAGCACAAGGCCTGGCACACAGTAGGCACTATGTGTTTCCTGTTATTATTGTTCATTTAGTTCAATTAATGTCTATTGAAGTTCTGCTATGTTTCAGGCTAATAGGCTTGCTTCTGCACACCAACCTCTGCAAAATTAAAAATTGTCTCCAGGTCCCAGACCTCTGGATTCATTTTTTCTGTAACTATCTATTGAGCGACTACTGTTTGCCAGGCACTGTTGTAGGTGCTGAAGATTCAGTGGAGAAGAAGATGGACGTGACTCCTGCCTTCATTTGGCTTATAGTCTAGTGGAGGAGACAGACATTAAACAGAAAAAAAAGGGGCCAGCCCTGCGGCGTAGCGGTTAAGTTCACACGCTCTGCTTCGGCGGCCTGGGCTTCACCAGTTCGGATCCTCGGTGCGGACATACGTACCACTCATCAAGCCACGCTGAGGCAGCGTCCTGCATAGAGCAACTAGAAGGATGTACAACTATGACATACAAGTATCTACTGGGGCTTTGGGAAGAAAAAAGGAAAAAAGGGGGAAGATTAGCAACAGATGTTAGCTCAGGACCAATCTGCCTCAAAAAAAAAAGAAAAAAAACAGAAAAAAAAATCACAAAAATGTCTACACTCTTGAATTTGTGATAAGTGTCCTAAAGGAAAAGGCCAGTATTCTCAGCATAAGGCCTTGAATATAGAAGGTGCTCAAAAAAATCTTCTGGATGTGATCAAAAGAGTTGCTAGGAAAATCAAATACAAAAATGGTATCAAGTGTCCTATAAGTGCAAGGAAATATTGATTCCTTAGCCCTTTCCAGGGAGATTAGCAGAACTCTGCCTTCCTCTCCACCCCTCCCCAGAGTGGGCCCACCCCCACTCTGGCCTGGGCATCCCTGATTAGACTGACTAATAAGAGTCTCCAGAGTGGAGCTTAGGGAACTTGTTGGGTATGTTACGGGGTGTGCTTTCATTCCCCAACACACCCTAGATGGCCACCTGACATGTCACCCCTTTCTCCGCTTCCTCTCTTTTCTTCCCCCTGGCTAGCTGGGGTTCTCTAGCTGCTTCTTGGGGTTGCCTGGCCACATAGAGGGTGAGATGCACTGGAGCACTCTGCTCAGAATTTGCAGGGAAAGAGGGGGAGAGGTAAGAGCAGGCCTGGATTTTCTAGGGGAAAGCACAGGTGTGAAGAGGGCTGGAGTGTTCAGGATAGACAAGATCCACAATGTCAAAAGCTCCAAGTCCCCTTACAGATCAGGTCTCTACCCTCCTTCACTTTCAGGTGAAAGGACTGAAGGTCACACAGGAAACCAGAGACAGGACAAGGACAGACCGATTTCCATTTCTGTCTCCCTAATGTCTGGCTCTGGGCCTGGTACAGAGCAGGCACTCAAGTAAATGCTGTGGAACAAGTGAAGGAGTTCTGCTCTCCTGGTTCCTCAAGCAGAATGGCCTGGCAGGGTGGGGCCAAGACCTTGATTGGCCATCCCTTTTTCCCCAAAACAGAGAGCATGCTGTCCAAGCTGGAGCTCTCTTGAGCCAAATGGACAAGGGTAACATAAATACCAGGGAATGTAGAAAAATCAGGAAGAAGAGAAGTAGGCCAACAGACACAGCCTGTATAGCCAGCACTCATGATTTCCCAATTACAATTCAACCAAGCAACAAGCAAAAGCTCAGAGTAAGCAGTACCAAAGGGAAGGTGGCCAAGAAGCACAAAAGATCTGCCAATTTCATTCACAAACATTTAAGGCTGACGTGATTCTAACCCTCAAGAAACTCACAGTCCAGCAAGTGAGGCAGACGTAATCACAGACATCTGTATGGGGTGCTGTGTGGTGCACAGAAGAGAGAAGCACCCACTAGCCTGAGGATATCAGGGAAGGCTTTCTGGAAGAGGGGATGCTGCAGTGAGGAGAAATTGACTAGGTACAAAAGGCACGAAAGGCAGTCCAGGAAAGACTGCAATTAGTTCACCAAGCCAGAAGGAATGGGGGTCTGAGGTAAGCTGGAAAGCTAAGAAACTTCTAAGGAGCAACAGAAAAACAAAGGAAGGAGAAGAATAGAAGGAAAAGAAGATCCAGGGGACCAGGGAGCTCAGAGGAGTGGTGGAAGTGAGGGCAGCTCTGAGAAAGAAGCAGCCCTAGGATTCTTCTTCCTGGATTCAAAGGTTCACCCTCAGCTTTCAGAGTGACTCATTTCCAGAAAGCTTTGGGTAGCTGAGGTTTTGCCATAATGTGCTTTTCTCTGATGTTCCTCCTTCTGTCATACCCTTATTTGGTTAGATATTACAATTTCAGCTCAATTAAAAGCATTTGTGGAGAACCTATTTAATGTCAGGCACTAGGATAGGTCCTATCGAAGGTACATACGTAGTCCCTTCATTCACCACATTTTTATTGAGGTCCTGCTATAAGCCTGGTATTGTTCTAGGTTGACAGTTGTGTGTGTGTGGTGGGTCCGGGGGCAGGCCGAAAGTGAAAAGTGTGCATACATCATCAGTACAAGGACTGGGGCCCTCAGAGAATTACAAAGACAGGGGGGAAGGCTTTAGCTCTGTGACCTTGGACAAGACACTTCCTCTCTCTGAGTCTTAGTGTCCTCATCTGGAAAAAGGGACTAATCATACTTATTTTCTATGAGGATCAGTGATAATGTTTGAAAATCTCCTTGGGCAGTGTCTGACACCCAGGGGCTGCTTGATAGCAGCTGTGGGGAGGTGGCATTTGCAATGAGCTCCAACAGGCAGAGAAGTAGGGAACATGATCTCTCCTGCAGTGGCCCAGCAGACACAAAACTCTGGAGGTTTACTTTGGCACAGGGACTAGTTTAGTTTGACTGGAGCCTCAGGTTTGTGGAGGGGAGTAGAAGGAGAGAAGTCTGGAAATTGGTAAGTGGGGATGTTTTTCTTACAAATCTCTTTATGTCTGGAGGTCAGCGGGTCTAGAATCTAGTGAAAGTAGACCCAAGAGTGGCAGTTCGAGGAGGGGCCTGTGGAGGTGGAGGGTAGGGCAGAACAGGGTATTTCAAATCCCCTGGAAGTCACTGGATCACTTCTCAGGGCAGGCAGGCAGGCCCTGGGGAACAGTGGCATCTAGTGCCTTGATTCAGGCTAGAGTGACCACCCATCTCTGTTTGCCAGGGACTGAGGAGTTGCCTGGGATGCGGGGCTTGAAATGCGAAAACCAGGATGGTCTTGGGCAAATCGGGTCCCCTAGTTCAGGCCCTTGTCACTGTCTCCTGGACCTCAGCAGGCTGCCCCTGCTGGTCTCCCTTCCTTTGGTCTCCGTGCTGCTGCTGGAGAGGATTGCTGTCAAACACAGCTCATAGCGTCTGCGCTGTTTCAAACCCTCCAAAATCTCCCATTGCCTCTGGGATCAAGTTCGAATCCCAGAGCCTGGCATCCAGAGCCTTCTCTACACTGCTTTCTTCCCTCCTTGAAAGTCTCATTTCCTGTCACTTTCACACCACACCAGATACAGCCTCCTTCCCCAACCAGGAAGTGCCCTTTCCTATTCTGGGCCTTTGCCCATGGTGGTCTCTTACCAGCCTGGCTAATTCCTACCTATGCTTCAAGGTTCAGTGAAAATGTCATTCCCTGACACTCTCGACTCTGCTTTCTCCTCTGGACTCCCAAGGTACATTATACACACTTTTGGGAGAGCACCTATCAGGGAGTTAGTTTGGGAGTGTGGACCCCACCTCTGTACCAAGCTTCTAGTGCAATGCTTGGTGCACAGTAAGCTTTTGGTGTATATATATATATGTATATATATATATATTGAACAGGCAACATATTCACATGATTCAAAGTTTAAAAGGGATTAGAGGAAATTCAGTGAAAAGTCTCCTTCCCTCTCCTGGCCTCCAACAAACCAACACCCCTCCCCCTCCAGGGATATTTTATGTGCACACAAGCAACTAAGGTAATTTACTCTGTTAAATGAATACAGGAACAAACAGTAAAAACCTCGAAACAATCCAAATGTTCAAAATCTTGGACTGGCTAAGTAAGCTATTATATAGCAACATTATAGACTAATCTGCAGTCGTTAAAAGTCATTACAATTATTGTAAGGCAGACTCTGTAGTATATAATATGTTAAGCTTTAAAAGCAGAGTATAAAGCAGACCTCTCCACTGAATGCACTTGGTAAAATTGTGGTCTCTTCAGTGATAGAGTGGAAGGAGGTCTGAGAGAGAAATGATTGTTACTTTAAGGTGAAGGGATTCTGGATTTTCTTTTATGTAAAGCTGTGTGAATATGAAAAGAAAGAGGCTGGGTGATTGTGAATCTGCCTGATAAAGAAGTATGATTCACGATGGGACTCATTCACTCAGTAACTCCTTCTGCAAACATTGAATGCTTGCTTTGTCAGGAGGAAAAAGCCAGAAACAATGCTGGGCTTCTCAGGATGAGCTCTAAGTAGACGATGGGGACCTAAAAGGCTCTGATGGAGCAGGAGGGGTGGGGACTGTGATGAGTTCATTTCAAGCCTGTTGAAGTGAAGTTTCGTTTGTTTGTCAAGAGGAGCTGTGCGGTAGAGGGGAGGCTATAGGTTGGGAGCTCAGCAGGAAGGTCAGGGCTAGCGCTGGCCATCAGGACGTGGTCAGGGAAGCCGGAGGTGGGCTGGAGCGCACCCAGGGAGAAGGTGGACAAGGAAAGGAGAAGAGAGATTACATAGAGCTGGTGAGAAGACTTGCTTCAAATCTCTCAATGCCTCTGAGCCAAGGCCAAGGGCAGCATGGTAGCAGAGGCGGTATCTGTCGCTGAATGTTGAAGGGCTTCAGAGTTCAGGCAGAAACCCTTCCTCCCAGCCTCTGGCCTCCAAGCCTCACGCACCCATGGCCTGGGTCTGGTCTTAGTTGTTCAGAAAGGCCTGATAGACCAAGGGGGTCTTTGACTGGCTTAGAAAATATGTAGGAACCTGAGTGAGAGGCTGGAGTAGAGGCTTTAAAAGATTTACTTGAATGAAGGCCAGCTAGAGCTGACAGGGGAGAACAGGTGGGCCTGACATTGGGAGCAGGAATGTTCCCTGGCAGTTTGAGGGATGTAGGCCCCAGGAAGTGGAAGTTTCCGAGGGGGGTTTATCCCCTAGTGAGCAGGTCTCAGACGTTCCCCTGAAGGGCCCAGCAGGCGAAGCTGATGGAATTATTGCTCACAATTTGGACAGAAAAATGGGAGTGGTTATCCCCAGAGCAGCATGCCACCAGGGTATATTGCCCACTTCATATGTTTTATGTGCTCTGCACTTCCTAGAGAGGCAGTGCAGTGGACTGGAAGCGTGTGGAGTCTGTGGAGTCTGGCCAACCTGGAATCCAGGCCCAGCTCGACCACTTAGGGCTGAGTGATCTTTGGGAAATCACTTCTCTGAGACTCAGTTTCCTTGTTTAAAAATTGAGGCTATAGTAATATCTACTTTGGGCTGTGTTGTGAGGATTAGAAATAATGTAAAGCTCTTAGTATATAGTAGGTGCTCAATACATAGCAGCTATTATTTTTATTTGTGCAACCACACAGGAATAGGCTGGCATAAGTCATTGCTGAGTTGTATTCTCTTTGAGGGATTTATTGCCAGTTGGGACAGGAAACTGAAATCTAAGACTTTGTTCACTATTGTTTCACAAACATTTGTCAAAAGTGGCCTGGCAGGTCACCCGGGTCACTTGTAAACATGTAAAACCAGTTCTCAGTTTCCGCTGCACATAACAATTCTCTCCTTTGCTGGTCATTTCAGTGCACAAACAAAAAGCATTTCCCAAACCTTTTCATTGATGGTGATATTTAGAAGATAGATTGAGAAAGCATTAGAGGGGCAGGGGTTAAAATTAAGTTGTGAAACACTGAATAAAAGCAAATGCGTGCCTTCCTCTGTCCCCTTAGCTTACCAACAGCCTACTACTCTTACTCCTCACTCTTGTGCCATGTTTTATATCTGTTCAAAGTGTTTCCACATATTTGATTTCATTTGCTCCTCACTCTGGCCTGTGAAGTTAGTAGGGCAGATGTTGTCTGCATCTGGGAGGTGCTAAGATAGTGACAGAGCTGGGATTAGAACCCACGTCTCTTTGTTACGGAACATGAGTAAACTGTGCCAGGTTAAGCTGTACGCTGGATGAATGGGTTAAAAGTAATCTGTGAGGAAATGATGTGCAGGTGTTGGAGAGCTGTTTTGCAAGGAGACAATGGCAAGAATACCATCTCGCTGTAGGGCGTCCAACAGAGATGAGTGGCAATGTGTCTGTTGTGCTGATGAGCAAACTGGAGGCCCAGGGTCAGCAGAGCAGGACTTTGGAGTTTGGATAACACAAGAGAGATGGATTTAGTTTCAAAAGTTTCCCCCTTTTCAAGTTGTTTTAAATGACAGAAGTGACCCTGGTGACCTGGCTTGGGGTCACCCAGCTAGGGAGTGGCAGAGCTCCTTGAATTGAGAATCTAACTCAGGACTCTTAACTCCAACTTCTTGGACTTGAAATCAGTTCATTCAGTCCCCTGCCCCAACTTTCTCACAGGGGCATTGAGAGGGACAAGAGTGGGAATGTCAAATTATTGCATAATGGCATTAAAAGAAATAGTGCTCAGCATTCACCTTTTCCAAATCTAATTGGCCTCCATGTAAGAGCTATTGAGGGCAAATATTGGCACTACAATGATATGTTTGCACGTTCTACTCATTAGCTGTGTGACTGAAGTTAAGTCATTCACTTCATTTCCCCAAGCCAGTTTCCTTCTCTGTAGAATGAAGACATCAGCTCCTGCCTGACAGGTTGTGAGAATGAAATAAGCAGCATTATGTGAAAGCATTTTGTAAAATATGAAGCTGTATATATGTGTATATATACATCTATGTATATGTATGTATATGTCTGTGTATATATATGTCTGTGTATATACATGTGTATGTATAGATATGTATATGTCTATGTGTATATATGTGTCTATGTACATGTGTGTATATGTCTATGTGTATATATGTCTATGTTTATGTGTATATACATGTCCATGTATCTATGTATATGTATATGTGTGATACATATATGTCTATGTATATATATGTATATGTGTGTATATATATGTATATATGTATATGTGTATATATGTATGTATATGTATCTGTTGAAAGCTTTGAGTCCTCACTTACTGGAGTCCATCAAACCCAGCTCACTCTAGGACCCTGAAAGGCCTGGCCCTGGTGGGAGTAGAGAAGGTGGTTCTTTTTTGGTTTCTCTGGCTGTCAGGCAGACGGAACTGGTGAGGAAAATGGAGCAAGATGGGTTTGCTCACCACCTGTCTTCTCATCCCCCAGCTGAGGAGGAAATGGCAGGGGACCTGGCATAACCTTTTCTTTGGTGAGTCAACTAAGAGGGAATTTCTAGAGCTCCAATGAGGTATAAGTGGTGGTTTGGGTTTGGATTCTTGAAGCTGCTCCCTTTTTTTCTGCAGCTTTAAGACACATAACTAAAAGCACAAGCAATTGGGAAATTTTCCATTTCCAAGCAAATGGAAAATGATAGAAGCACAGCTTCTTACTAGTGTGAACTTGAGGAAATCACTCAGCTTCTCTGGGCCTGTTTTCTCATCTGTAAAATGGGGACGATGCTGCCTCTATTGCAGGGTCATTGCGACTATTAATAGAATGCAAAAGTGCTGGGTCCAGTGCCTGGCACAGAACAGAGGCCCATTACCCATCCATTCCCTTTCCCTTCCTGGTGGACAGACTGCGGTCATCGAGCTCAGACGAATAGAAAGCACTTATTCTTCAGTTGCTTGAGTCTATTATAATGGCTGCCACTATTCATTTAATTCTCAGAACCACCCCACGAGACAGCTCAATCTACAGACATGGAGGAAACAGAGGAGCAATTCGAGTTTTATTGCCCAAGGTCACAGAGCTTGCAATTTTTAAAGCCAGAATTCAAACCCACCTTGTCTAGTTTACCTCTTAGATATCAGAATGTGTGAGGAGGCTTAATCAGGCTGGATCTTCTGGAAGGCCCATCTTGAAGTAGACTCGGGCTAAGAAGGTAACCCCAACCTGGCCCATTTTGATAATGAACTCAGGGTGGAGTTTTAAAGGCAGGAAATAGGCCATTGCTAGAGGCAGCCTGGCAATAATTGGAAGAGAGCTAAAAACGAATGTTGGCTTCCCAAATCCTTGGGGAATTTAATCTGTGCTCTACCAGCTTCAGGAGCTATGTTGTGAGGGTGGGATGAGTCCTTTATTAAGCAGTGTACAAATATATTATTGGTAGTCTTCTGTCATCTCCCACTAAACACAACCTCCTACTCATCGCCTGACAGCCCTCCACTTACCATCCTACAAACAAGAGGGAACTGAGTCTCCTTTTCAAACCCCTCTCCTAAACTAGACTTCAGAAGCTAGAATAGACAGGCTGAGTCATCTTCCTGTTAAAAGAAAACCTAAGTGCACCAAAGCCACATAGAACAAAAGTATGTTTTCTATACAGATCGTTTGTTTCAATACATGGCTGCTTTTTTAAGGTATCAACCCAAGAGCTGAGGGCATGTCTTCTCTCTACTGCAGAAAGTAGGTAACTTTCAGTGTCATCTGTGCTATCCCCCTCCTCCACACCCAGTTATCAGCATGACTGCAGGCAACTTACTAACCAGCAAAATGACCCCATGGCACATTTACCACTTCAGATTGTGCCAGGTATCACACAGCATAGGCAAGGAGGGCCAAAACGGTCTTACGGTGGCTCATTTAAGAGCTAGGATACAGCCTGAGCTGCTCTTCACCCTAAGAGCTATGGCAAATAATTCTACAAGAGTAGAGGCCCTGACCTCGGATGCATACACAGGATGGATCTCATAGCTCTGTGGGGGATCAGAATTTGCACCCCAAGATGTGTCTCTTTGGCTTGTTTTTAAGAACAAAAGACCTGGAAGAGACTCTGGAAGAAACTCTGACCTTCCCCCTAACTGACTAAAAGAATTTAAGACAGAAAGCCTGTTCCAGGAAGGAGCTAATACTATAAGATAACTGTAGTATAATTTAACTAGGTGTGGTAGACAGGAAGGCACTAGCAAGCCCATTTTTATCCAAGTTCTCTCTCTCAGGTCACATTGTCTATAGAGGGCCCAGCAAACATTTGTTCACCAAACATTTGCTTTTCCATCTCCATGTGAATTGCCTTCCTCCCCTTTGAAGTCCCAAACCACTACTCCCAACACCCTCCTTGGTCTTTAGCTTGAAGATGGTATTGAAGGTGGTGGCTTCAGCCATTTGGGGGAGTTACTCAGTTTTCCTGGGTTTCTCCCATGTATACATGTCATTAAACTGTTTTATTTTCTCCTGTTATTCTGTCTCATGTCAACTTAATTCTTAGGCCAGCCAGAAGGACCAAGAGGCTAGACATAGTTCTTCCTCCCCTACAATGTCTTATCTGTTTCTCTCATTTCTCCTGGCCAAGGCAAGGAAGACTAGGTAGATAGGATTGTTATGGTCCATTCATTTATAGCTATAATTCCTGAAAATAGTGCTGTGTAGCAGGAAAAGTCCTGGCTTTTGTGATCACCCCTTGTAAAGCAGAGTGTTGGGTTATTTCACAGTGCCGGGGTAGGAAGGAGAAAGCAAGCTCCAGCTGGTCTGGGGAGCTCTGATGCTGGGAAATTCACTGCCCAGATCAAAGGGAGATGACTAAGATCTCTCCATAAACCCAGGGACCCACAGCTGACCCCCTCCCCCCACCCTTAAGAAAAGCAGCTGATACCAATATTTCTGCACAGCCTCATGTAATAGAAGGGACTTTTATTATTTTTTAGAGAGAATTCATACAGTCATTGATTATACAGAGCCATTTCTCAGTACTTTTCTTTCCACTTAAGAAAATGGAATACACCATGATGAGGATAATAATGCCAAAACAAGACTGCTGGCTCATCATCTAGGATACAAATACACACTTAATTGTTTGACACTTTATTGAACGCAAAGCATGATTAAGCGTCTTTGCTTTTGTTGTACACAGCTGAAGCAGGAACCCAGGGAGGGGAAGACCACACAGCTTTCCTTGGTGGGGAAAATGGTGCGCCCCCACAGTCCCATCTTGTGGGACGACTAACCCATGTTCTGTCGGTTGCCATAGCCCCTAGGATGGGTGTCCTTCCAGTCATCCCATTCCCGAGCTCTGTGGAGTGTTTGCTCATCATCTTCTTCCTCCTTTTGTTCCTGATCTTTCCATTGCTGAGCTGCTCTCGTGAGCTCTGCCAAAGTGGAAAAATGAGAAAGCAGGGGTGAGAAAGTGAGGGAATGTCTGGGGCCTCAACTCCACTCTGAACACAACCACATATAGTGAGAACAAGGAATCTAGCAGCCCACCCTGGGGCCAGCAGAAGTGGGGAGTACTTATATTACTTAACAGATGACATGTTAAATAACAGTAAGAAAGGATGCTGAGTAGTTTTCACAAGAAGGAAAAACATAAAAGTTGCCCCTCAGAATGAATTCTATTTTGGGAAAGAATTCTTGCTAAAATGGCCAACACCGCCTCCCCAAACAAAAAACAAAAAACCAACCAACCAACCAGCCAAACCCTAGCAAACCAAAAACACTCAAGTAAAAAATATTTATGATTTTATGATTTGTGATATGCCAAGGAGGTGGGACTGCAGGTGACTTTTTCTCCTCCATCCGTTTCCTTTATTACAGTTATACAATTTTCTGTGTAAAATTGGAAATCACGGGGCAGTGGAACCTACCAGAAAAGAATATCTCTGTTATTTTGCATGTGTTTGGAACACAGTCTGAGGTCCAAATGGCACTTGTTATGCAGTGTACACCCAAAAGGAATTAAACCAATTGCTTTATCTCTCTTTTGCATTCATTTTTTTTCCTTTGCAAGGTAAAGGAGCATTTCCCGGCTACCCTGAGTTTGCCCATGAGAAATATTTTCATTACTATGATGAAAAATGAAATATATGGGGATCTGATCTCTTCTAACAACTTAGGAGTCTTGTGCTCTTTTGTTTTAACCCTTTAATTGTAAAATAAAAGATACTAAAAATCACACAAAAATATATATAACAAGTTTTTATAAGGCTATACCTTGATAGCCTCCACTTGGGTCAAGAAATAGATCTGTACCCATGTCAAAAGCCTCTCCAGGAGCATCTTCCAAATCACAACTGCCTTCTACCCCCAAAGGTAACCACTATACCACCTTTTATAGTAATAACTTCCTGGAGTTTATTATAGCTTTATTACCCAAATGTGCACCTCTAGACACTAGAGCTGTTCATTTGTACATTCAATTGTTGCTCAATGATTTTTAGTACAGAGTTGTGCAACCATCACCATAATCCAATTAAAAAAAGATTTTTATCACCCCAAAAAGATCCCTTGTGCACATTTACAGTTAATCCCCATTCCTTCCCTGCCCCCAGCCCCTGACAATCACTAATCTACCTTCTGTCTCTATGGATTTGCCAATTCTGGAAATTTCATATAAACCGAATCAAGCAATATGTGGTCTTTTGTGTCTGACTTCTTTCATTTGGCACAATGTTTCTGAGGTTAGTCTTGCCCATTTAAAAATATTTTGATATCTTTTTAATCTACATGTTCCTCTTCCACCCCGTTCTGTCCTTACAAGTGATCTATTGAAGAAGCTGGGGTATTTGACCTGAGAGTTTCCCCAAATCTGGATTTTGCTGATTGCATAGTCATGATGTAGTCCAACATGTTCTGTATTTCTGAAGATTGGCAAGTGGATACAGAGGCTTAATCTGACTCAGGGGTGATCCCTTTGGCATGATTATAGGTGGTGCTGTGTTCTCTCATCAGGTGGCACATAATATCTGCGTCTCATGTGTGGTGATGCTAGCAGCTGTTTGTGTTCTATGCCTAGATTCACTCATTTTCCAGGGGTTTCAGAAAGGTAATATTCTTATCCTTACCATTCTTTTTTATTAACTGGAATGCTTTTATAAAGAGAAGCTTCCCCTCATCTACTACTATTTAGTCACCTGGGAAAAAAGACAAGATCAATACTTGATTCTTTCACTTTATTTACTACTTCTTAAGATAATAAATTGGTTCTTTATCATCCTCTGAAATTGAACAATTTTTGTTTTTAAATATAATTATGAACTCATGGATTTAAACATATTTGATGGGTTTCAACCAACCGCACTGATTTCTAAAAAATATTTAAATAAACTTTTAAATTTTACAACAGTTTTAGATTTACAGAAAAATTGAGAAGACAGTATAGAGTTCCTATACAGTGACGAGATTTTCACATATTGAGGTATATGGGGTAACTATTTGGGTTCAAAACTGGTTTGGCTTGAACTAAAAAACCTGACTTATGGCCTATCAAACATACATTGTACATCTGCTTAACCATTCGAGTAAAGAATACACTCTCTTAAGACAAGAATGCATACTTCCCCTCCTACGCCCTATTGGTAACGCCCTACTGGTAACACCCAATGCCCCATTGGTAACCCCCCATTAGTCCCTTTCCTGACATCACAGTCACGTTGACCTGTTAATTTGCAATTGAATACCTCTTTGAAACTTTGATGAAAATGTATCCTGGGTGTGTTTAATGTATATTCTTTGTTCTAAAAGGATATAAGACTGGACTGTAAACCACGCCTCTCCAGAACGCTTTCTAAGGCCTTCCCGGGTTATAATCCTCACTCTGGCTCAAGTAAACTCACCTTATTTCTCTTATCTATAGAACGGTTATTGGTTATTTTGCATCGACAACATCTGTACCCAATCTCCCTGATTGTTAACATCTTACATTACTAGGGTTCTGTGTCACAACTAACGAACCAATACTGATATGTTATTAACAACGAAAGTCCATAGTTTATTCAGATTTCCTTAGGTTTTACCTAATGTCCTTTTTCGGTTCCAGGATCCCATCCAGAACACCACATTACATTTAGTCCTCTGTCTCCTTGGTCCCCTCTTGGCTGTTAAGAATTTCTCAGACTTCCCTTGTTTTTACTACCTCAATAGTTTTGAGGAGTACTTCTCAGGTATTTTGCAGAATGTCCCTCAATTTGGGGTTGCCTGATGCTTTCCTCATAATTAGACTGGAGTTATGGGTTTTGGAGGAGAATACTGCAGAGGTGAAGTGTCCTTCTCACCACACCAAATCACGGCTACACAGCATCCCCATGACTTATCGCCGCTGACGTTAACCGGAAACACCCGATTAAGGAAGGGTTTGTAGAGTTCCCAACTGTAAAGTCCCTCTTCTCCCTCCTTCCATGCTGCAGTCTTTGGCAGCAAGTCACTAAACACAGCCCACACCTAAGGGGTGAGGAGTTATGTTCCACCTCCTTGAGACAGGAGTATATACACAAATTATTTGGAATTTTTCTGTAGGGGAGATTTGTCTCTCCTCCCCCATTTATTTATTTAATCATTTATTTCTATCACTATAGCCTCATGGATATTTATTTTATTCCGTGTGTTATAATTCAATACTGTTATTCTCCTGCTCAAATTCTTCCAGTTTTGGCCAGGGAGAGTTCTTTCAGCTGGCCCTGTGTCCCACTAACATACCTCATTTTTTTTTTTTTGAGTACTTCTTTATTTTCTACTACTACAAGATGTTTCAGGTACATTTTGTATATTCCCTGCCCCAGCTCTAGAATCAGCCATTTCTCTAAGGAACTCTGGTTCCTTTAATTGGAGAATGGTATTAGAAACCAAGATTTGGGCACTCAATGTGCTCATTGCTACTGGTCATTATCCTTTTTGAAGCCAAACTGTCTGGCCAGTGGAAACATCTTCAAATGGGCTTCTGAGTCTTTTTGATATGACCTTAGTAGTGTTTGAAAGCTTCTTCCCTATCTTTTGACAAGATGTTCCAAGCTCATCTTTTATATTTCCTGTCCTAGACTTGGAATTAGCTATTTCTCTAAGACATCTTGGTTTCTTTTAATGGGAATGGTATTTTAAGACCACAATCAGGATTACTAGGTATGCTCACTACTACTGGGCTGGTCATTGTTTCTGAGCCCTTTCAGTGGATAAAGCAAAGGGGTGTGTGTGTGTGTATTTACTTTTAAATAAAATTTCTCATGAGTTCATATTCAGGACTATAGGGTTGTTTTATTTCTAACAAACTCTTTTGAATTACATCTGTATTCTCCCACACTAAACGTCTTAGTTATCAAAGACAGAGGATGATAGGATTCAAATATTTCATAATTACTCATTTGTATTATCTCACATTACACACAGCCTTGGAGTAACACTAATATTGTCACCAATATAATTACTGAAGACAGTTCCTTTTTAGCATATGCTTTCCCCATTTCTCCATTTTAGAAAATAGTGGTACTCTATCTACGTTATCTGAGCACTGAGCACATAAGCATTACATACTCTACTCTTTCCCTTTTAACTCTCACTTAGTCTTAGTCCTACAAGTAACTATATATTTAACACTTGCCACCAGTCCTTATGTCAATGTCTCTCATCATTTTGGTTGTCTGAAGCTCATTCTCTAGCAAATTCCTACGGAAGGGATCATGGGAACAATATTTCTTGAGCTCCTGCACGTTGATAAATGTCTATACCCTTCATACTTAAAAGTCAGTTTTACCAGATATAATGTCCTTGGCTCACATTTCTTCCCCTTGAGTATCTTAAATACGTTACTCCATTTTCTTCTGGCATATAGTGTTGGTGTCAAAAAGTTTGAGGGTGATCTAATTTTCTTTCCTTTATAAATCACCTGTGTTTGCTGAAATGTCCAAAGCACTTTTTCCTTTTCTTTAAAGTCTAGTAATTTTATTATATTATCCATATGCCAGGTCTTTGCTATCTTTAATATTTGTCACTTTTTCTCGAATCCTGTTTAACTTTCTTTTTGATTTAAAACATTTTCCTTCTTTTACCTTAGTAAGGCATTTTCTGTTGTGTTCACTTATTCTTATTTTCTTCTGGTTTAGCCTTCATTTCTGAAATGATTCTTTCTTATTTTCCCCAAGTTGTCACACATTTCTGAGTTTTTCTAATCCTGCTTTATATTGTTCTTCCATGTTTTACATAATTTTCTTAATGTCTTCTGATTAATTTTTAAACAGTACATTTTAGATTTGCTGTTTTTTGAGTGTCTCTTTCTGGAATGCTTTTGATTCTATCTTTTCTTTCCCTTATGATAATTTTGTGTGGGATTTGACTTTGATAATTTTCTGTTCATTTTTTTACAGCTTTATTGAGATGTATTTCA